AACAAAACCTGGACTGACGATAAAATCTGCACCAGCTTCACGGTACATTTTGGCTTGTGCTAGATTTTTTATAGTACCAATACCAAGCATCATTTCAGGCATTTTTTCATTACGTAAAGCTACCATTGCCTTAAAATTGCTGAAAGCTGTATCACCTCGATTGGTGTATTCCACAGCATTGACACCAGCACTATTTACAGCACGTAAAACTTCAAGGCTTACATAAGCTTCTTTGTGAAAATATAAAGGCAAAATACCTTGAGCCAAGATAATGTTTTGTGCTCTTTCGATATGGATACTTTTTGATTTCATTTTATCGAGGTTTATTTAATAATAAAGCTGGGTTTGCTCACGTATAAACAACTTAGTGTAGATTTTGTCATGATTTTTGATTCTTTCGGTCAAAAATAACGCCAAAATCAATGTTTTCCTACTTTTTTAACCGCGGATTCTCATCCGTAGTTAAAAATGTAGCACCCCTACGGGGTTATATATTAACGTTGTACTCGACCGCTTCCGTCGCCTTTTACCAGGTCTTTGACTTCGGCTAAAGTGGCATGGTTCAAGTCACCAGGAATAGTGTGTTTTAATGCACTAGCAGCTACGCCAAATTCAGCAGCATCTGCCATACTCATTCCCGTCACAAGTCCATAAATCAAGCCACTTGCAAATGAATCTCCACTTCCTACCCTATCTACGATCCGCACATTATACTCTTTTGTATGGTAAAAATCATTGCCATCATACACCAATGCACTCCATCCGTTATCACTTGCGCTGTGGCTTTCACGAAGAGAAGAAGCAATAAATTTAAACCCAAATTTCTCTTTCATTTGACGAAAAACATCTTTAAATCCATCTAGATTGAGATCGCCTTTAGTGACATCGGTATCTTTGGCTTTGAAGCCTAGTGTTGTGTCCGCATCTTCTTCATTTCCTATACAAACATCTACATATTGACACAAACGACTCATCACTTCGCGGGCTTTTTCTTTGGACCACAACTTTTTACGATAATTAAGGTCAATACTAGTGGTGATACCCTTTGCTTTTGCGGCTTTTAAGGCTGCTTCTGTTAGTGCAGCTGCCTTATCGCTCAATGCAGGCGTAATCCCCGTCGTGTGAAACCAATCTGCCCCTTCGAATATCTCATCGAAATCAAACTCGGATGCATCCACATCTGCTATCGAAGCACCAGCGCGGTCATAAATTACTTGTGACGCTCTCATAGATGCCCCTGTCTCCAGAAAATAAATACCTAACCTATCTCCACCTCTAGCTACAAACTGTGTATCAACACCATATCTGCGAAGATGATTGATGGCTGACTGCCCAATGGGATTATCGGGTACTTTGCTGACGAATGTACCTTGTAATCCATAATTGCACAAAGCTGCTGCAACATTTGCTTCACCACCACCGTAAGTGACATCAAAACTCTCGGCCTGTACAAAACGTTTATAATCTGGCGTAGAAAGCCTTAACATGATTTCTCCTAGCGTTACTACTTTTTTTGACATACGAAAATTAGTTATGAGATATGAGTTATGAGATGTGAGTTATGAGATGTGGCTTTGAGCTTCAATTTTAATTGAAATGGATAAATTTAATCAATTTTTATCCACTTATACATGTAAATCTTACTACCCGTCTGCACCCGAATGAAATACAAACCTTTATCAAGAGATGATGTGTCCATTTCAAATCCATCTGTCAATTTACTTGCTTTTGCAGTATCAATAACTTTCCCTTCCATATTCATTATAAAAACCGAAGTTTGCTGGTCAATAGAATGCGGAATAAAAACTGAATTTCTTCCTGGGTTTGGCCTCGGTATCAGTTCTGAACCTTCAGAATTAATCATATCCTGATCAATATTTGAAGTTTGAGCATCACAAACAAGATTTAATCCAGATAATACTCCAGCGGTGACAAGATTTAAACCTTCAATATCGGCCCCAATGTCTAGACCGTCTGATCCTGCACCACTAAATGAACTTCCTTGCAATAACTGGTAATCACCACCAATACCAAAATTAAAATCCTGAAATCCAATATTTTGAATAGGGCCTGGAAAATAGTTACCTTCAGGATAATTAGATGCAGTACCTCCATTCGATGCTTGACCATCTGCAAGCACATTGTGATGAAATTCGGCTCCAGGAAAATAAAAATTTAAGGCCGGATTACCTATTCCCTTGCCACTGCCGTGTAGTCCGTAGTCTCCGTTTGAAGTTATATTATTGAGATAAATAAAATTTTCATTTGGATAATTAGGTCCGTCTGCATTGACGAAAGTTCCACCTAGTGGATTAATAAATGTATTATGGTCCACTGTCAAATGATGGACGCCGTTCAGAACTTGCAGTGTTCGGCCGCTGCCGCCCCATATTTCGCCATTTATGTCTTCTATCAAATTATTTTTTATTAGAATTCGATTGGTATGAGTGATAGAATAGTTGCCATCCCTGCCTGAAATATTAAATCCGCTACCAGTGTGACGTATTATATTTTGCTCAAAAGTAACATTTTGGACTGTAATCCAAGGGCAACTTCCTGCTTCTGTACGTGGTGTAAAAAGAATTGCAAATCCAGTTTGGGCATCAGACCAATTGTTTTCAAAGACATTGCCTTGTATCCATACTTTATCTGCATTTTTTAATTCAAATAAGTTTTTTATTGACCAATGTGTCCCTTCATAGGATGGGTCGTCTACTCGCCATGACAATGGTTTATAAAAGTGATTTTGACGCACTTCAATGTCAGAACAAAGCAAATCCGATATACTTGGCTTTGCTCCACCAAACATGACATTTTCGCCTGCACCTTCGAGATAATTGTTGACGATTTTAAAAGTTTTACCATTCCATGCACAAAGGGCTTGGCTATCAAAACCCACTTCTTTAAAATCTGAAAGCCACGAATTTACTACAGCAATGCGGCGGCCGTTCATGGCGATTCCTCTGCGACTACCCATTGTTTTATGTCCGTGAAGATAAACTCTATCAAAAGTGATATCATGAGGAAGATCGTCTATGTTCTTTTCGCCATTTCCAATTTCTACGACATTCCATGAAAAATCTGTTGCTGCTATTTCTATTCCTAAAAAGTAATAATGATGTGATCGTGGTTTAGTCTTAATGGCACTCAAGCCTGGTTTTGCCAAAATTTTTGCCAAAACAGGTGCAGTCTCGGGATTAATACGTTCATTTGAAGCAGGTAGAAGATTATCTTCAATTGCAGTCCGAATTACAATCCAGCCATCGCCATTCTTCTCAGGTAAATCAAACGGACCAGTATATTCGACCCCTTGTTCTAAAAGAATAGTTGTACCAGGGGTTGCTGATTGTATAGCCTGTTGTAGCTGTGAATTTAAAAACATGCATCCATTGTTGCAAACAGTTATCGTTTTGTCTGTCTGTGGGACACAAGTTTCTATCCATTCCTGTGGCATTTCAGGTAATACTTGCCCATGCAAAAAACCAAAAGGAATACCTATATAAATAATGACTTGGTATAAACGCAAGGTAGATATAATGGATATCTTCATGTTTTCACATTTTGTATTAAATATCCACAAAGTTAAAAACTTATTTGAAAAAATCTATCTCTCCATTTACCCTCTACAAGCACCTAATTAAAAAATATATGGATAGATAGGTCATAATTTTACAAACCAATATTAAAAACATAAGGAATGAGATATTTAAATAAAAAAAGCCCACTTAACTTAATAAGCAGGCTTTTCAGATTTTCCAATCTAGTTTAACTTTTATCTAATTCAATAAAAATTAGTTTGCACCTATAGGGAAACTTAATCCTATATTTAGAGACAATGCATTGTTTTTACCTTCCGCATCTTCTCCTTCACCTATTGTGGTAAATCCTGCGGCATATCCTAAGTCAACATTCAACCACATTCTCTCTTTAAGACTATAGTTAAATCCTAATCCTGCTTGACCGCCAAAATCAACAGATTTAAAAAATTCTTTGATATCAACATCATCGTTTTTAGCACCTAAAAGAATTCCAACATAAGGGCCTAAAAATACTTTAGGTCTAAATTTATCTCCAGTTTGTCCAAAGAAATAAACACCTGTAAGAGGTATTTGCAAATAATTCAATCTTACTTTGACGTCTGGTAAAGTATATGCAACGCCCATTTGTGAAAACAATGCCTTTACATTTAAACCGATCTTTTCGTTGATACTGTAATTTGCAAAAATACCTGCCGACAGCCCCATTAACCTTTCACCATTTTCTGCTTCAGAAACTGAAGATGAATTTACGCCAATAACTGGCCCTATAGAAAGTGTTTGTGCATTGATGCTTAAATAAGCAACTGACAATAAAATCGAAGTTAAAACTACTTTGATCATTTGTATTGATTTAAAATATTATTAATAAAAATACAAATATACAAAATATTATTCTAAAATCCTAAAATAAACAAAAATATATTCTACATACTTTTAAGTATACAAAAAATGCGACTTTCCAAGTTATTGTAAACGAACTATTAGATTCGTATTCTTAATCTAAGCTATTTTTAAATATGTTTTTTGTAGGGAAAGTAGCAAACAAAACCTAACTACATCTCTCGCAAGTACCATTCACGACCATATTGGTGCTAGATACGTTAAATCCTTGAGGTAAGTGGATGGTAGGCACAAAGACATTGTCCATACAAAATGTATTTTCACAACGTTCGCAATGGAAGTGTACGTGCTGATCGTGGTGATGATGTTCATCGCAGTCGGCTTCACAAATGGCATATTTTTGTGTTATTGTTCCGTCGACCGCTTTGTGGATGATGCCTTTTTCTTCAAAACTTTTGAGGGTGCGGTACAACGTAATACGGTCTGCATCTTTAAGTTTGGTCTCAATATCACTACTAGAAAGGGCATGTCCTGCCTTATTAAAAACATTGATCACATCCATCCTAAATTGGGTGATGCGGAGATTATGTTTTTTTAATATTTTTTCTGATGGTGACATTATTTGATAGATTGACCATTTTCCCAAGAATCTGCTGGGCTTACAAAACTGAGTTTACCCTCAGAATTCTCAGCCATGAGTATCATTCCTTGCGATTCTACTCCACGCATTTTCCTTGGAGCAAGATTAGCAAGAAGACTGACTTTAGTACCAATAACATCTTCTGGAGAGAAATGTTCAGCTATTCCAGACACAACAGTACGTGTTTCAAAACCCAAATCAAGGGTCAATTTCAATAACTTATCAGCTTTCTCTATCTTTTCCGCTGCAACGATCGTCGCCGTCCTGATATCCATCTTGACAAAATCTTCGTAAGTGATCTCAGGTTTTAATGGTGTTGCTTCTGGTAGTTCTTTTTGAACATTTTCACTTTGAACTTCTTCAACTTTTGCTGTTGCTTGGAGTTTTTCTATTTGGGTATTAATCACTTCATTATCTATTCGTGTAAACAAATGTACTGGTTCGTTGATTTTGTGATTCTTTTTGAGTGGTCCAATATTTTCACTAAGATCGTCGAGCATCTTTACCAATTCACCTTTCTCTACAATAGGTTTTTGGTTTAATAACAATCTGATTTTGTCCGACGTAAATGGCATAAACGGCCTACAGATCACTCCAAGCGCGGCTACATATTGAAGACATAGATTCATGACAACCTTAACACTTTCAGGATCATCTTTGATCGTTTTCCAAGGTTGATTGAACTGTAATATCTGATTTCCTTTGGTAGATATCTCCATCAAAACACGCAATGCAGATCTGAAATCATAACTTCTGATATGGTCATTCATAGCTTGAATATCATCAAAAAGCCTTAATAGTTCCGAATCATGATAAGATGCATCAAATTGATCTTCAGGTCCTATGATTTCTTGGGATTCGTCAAAAACAGGTACTTTTCCATCATAATATTTATGTGTAAGTACTACTACCCTATTCACAAAATTGGCCAAATTATTGACAAGTTCGTTATTGACAGCGTCTTGATAACCCTTCCAAGTGAACTCACTATCTTTTTGTTCAGGCATGTTTTTGATCATGGTGTATCTCAATTCATCCTGTTTATTCGGAATATCATCCAAATATTCATGCACCCAAACTGCCCAATTGCGTGAAGTAGATATCTTTTTGCCTTCGAGATTCATAAATTGATTGGCAGGAACATTGACCGGAAGGTTATAATCACCGTGAGCTCTCAATATAGCTGGAAAAATCAGGCAATGAAAGACGATATTGTCTTTACCAATAAAATGCACTAATGCGGTCTCATCATCTTGCCAGTATTTTTTCCAATTCTTTTTGTTGTCTATCGCCCACTGTTTTGTCGCAGAGATATATCCAATTGGTGCATCCATCCATACATAAAGTTTTTTGCCCTCATGCCCTTTGATATCATGTGGCACATCTACGCCCCAATCTAAGTCTCTTGTCATAGCACGTGGTTGTAATCCACCATCAAGCCAAGACCTACATTGACCAAGTACATGATTTTTCCATTCATCAGGATCATGAAGCGACACGCCATCTAAATTACCTGTTTCTATCCATTCACGAAGCCAAGTCTCATATTTATCAAGAGGTAGATACCAATGTACGGTCTTACGAAGTACAGGTTTTTTGCCCGTCAAAGTCGATACAGGATCGATCAGGTCTGTTGGATTGAGTGTTGAACCACATCTTTCGCATTGGTCACCATATGCATCAGGATTACTACATTTAGGACATGTCCCGGTGATATATCTATCTGCTAGAAACTGAGCTGCTTCTTCATCGTAATACTGTTCGGATTCTTTTTCTTCAAACTCACCTTTGCGATAAAGCTTGGTAAAAAATTCTTGAGATGTTTCATGATGGATAGGTGCAGAAGTCCTGTGGTACATATCAAAAGACACACCGATCCGCTCGAAAGTATCTTTGAATAGTTCGTGGTATCTATCCACCACTTGCTGTGGTTGGAGTCCTTCTTTAAGTGCTTTTATGGTTATAGCTGCCCCGTGTTCGTCAGAGCCACACATAAAAATGATGTCTTTACCCATCAATCTTTGAAACCTTACATACACATCTGCCGACAGATAAGCACCTGCAAGATGACCGATATGTAATGGCCCATTTGCGTAAGGTAGTGCTGAAGTGACTAGATACCTCTTAAATTGTCTCATAATACCCGAATTATTCGGAGGGCAAAGATAGTAAAAATTATAGATTGTTTGTTTATAGCCAAAAATGATCGTTTTTGATGGAGTTATTCTGGACTTAGCACATTAAAATTGTGTTTGACCTAAACAAACGAGTATCGATTCTATCAGCTACACTTCACTCCATACATGCTCTAACTCACTCATCATCATTGCAGTAGCACCCCATAGTTTTTGGCCATAAACATCATAATATGGCGTATCTGGAAGTATCATATCTCGGACTTTTATATCTGCTACCTGTTTGTATTTAGGCTTTGTAAAATGATCGAGTGGTACTTCAATAATGTTTTTTACCTCAGTTTCTTGGATAATGAACTTAGGAGATTCTGTGGTAAAACCTACAAATGGGTGGACCAAAAAATTGCTAACATAAACATATAAAGGTGTGAGTTCACCCAAAATACCAATGGTGTCAGGAGCGATGCCTATCTCTTCGTACGTTTCGCGGAGTGCACAGTCTTCATAGGAAGCATCATTTTCGTCTAGCTTACCGCCTGGAAAACTAATTTGTCCTGCATGTTTATCATCAGGATGAAGACTAGTACGTTCTATTAAACTTAGATGCCACTGATCGTTTTTGGGAAAAAGCAATGCTAATACACATGCGACTTTATGGTCTGTGGCTACATTTCTGTATCTTTCGCTTCCTTTTGGAGCCATTTTATTTTGTGCTTCAAATCCAGGAAGGTCTTGTGACAATCTTTTTTCTAAAGCATGAATGACTGAAATATCCATTGATCTATAAATAAAACGTGATCAATGATGTACACATCCAATGATTACTTGGGTCCATTGGCTTTTACGATATAATTTTCCAATGCTTTATTCATAGAAGGTGCTTCAGGCGTTGGTGCTTTGATATTCACGTATAAACCTTTTTCTTCTGCTGCCTTTAATGTTGCATTTCCGAATACTGCTATTCTTGTATTATTTTGTTTGAAATCTGGGAAGTTGTCAAATAATGACTCTATACCTTGTGGACTAAAAAACGCCAAAATATCATAGAATACATCACTAAGATCAGACAAATCTGCTGAAACGGTGTTGTACATGACTACTTCTGTATGATTGATATTCAGTTTTTCTAGGTAGCTAACTATTTCCGTTGAACCCAAATTTGAGCAAGGTAGTAGAAATTTTTCGTTTTTATATTTATTAAAATAGTGCGCTAGGTCTTCTGCTAATCGTTTGCCAACGAATACTTTTCTTTTACGGTAAAGAATAAATTTTTGCAAATAATTAGCAATTGCTTCAGTCAGACAAAAGTATCTTGTATCCTGAGATACTCTAGCTCTCGTTTCTTCTACCAATCTAAAAAAATTGTCCACAGCACCTTTACTGCTAAAAATTACACATGGAAACTCCCCAAGATTGATTCTATTTTTTCTAAACTCCTTTTCTGATACGGCTGCTACTTGAATAAAAGGTCTCCAATCGATTTTGAGTCCCCATTTAAGTTCCATATCATAATACGGCGATTTCTCCTCAGGTTTAGGTTGTGATATCAGCAGAGATGTTACAGTATTGTATTTTTCTGCATATTGAGGTTCTGTCTGAGATGCTGTACCTTTTGTTGCCATTTAAACCATTAAATTTACCTAAATATTTTGACTTACTGCACCAATTTCATCACGGATTTTACCAAAATGAGCATTGGCGCAATTTCGAAGGCACAAAGGTAAATAAATATTTGGAATATTCTATCAAATAGGTATTCAGAAACGATAAAAACACCTCTAAATGTCCGAAGCAATATCATAATTATCACCAAACCCAATGAAAACCAAAGCATCACCCCTTGAAAATTTTCAGGACCGAAGGCCAAAATAAAATTTAATGGTATCAAGCAAATACCTAGGAATATATTAAAAATCATAATCGCGAAGCTATAAAGTTGGGTGCTTTTAGATATGCCGAATAGATTTCCAAGCATTCCTAAGAATACATGTCTAATTACATAAACGACTATAACGCCCGATAAGATACCTAGAAAGACAAGGACACCTTTGGGAGCCGAGTAATTTTCAGAAACCAAATAAATCAGTACCGCCAAATTTACAGCAAATATAAAATAAAGTACCAATAGATAAAGTGACACTCTAGTACTCTCTTCTCTGTAAAATAACTTTAGAATATTTTCATTGAGTATAGACTTAGATATCAAACCTATAGATTTGGCCCTGGTATTTAAGATGATAGCTAACAAGGCACTTGCTAAAAGCAAAAACCAAAATAAAAAAGCATTGGACACTTGCGTGGCTTCTAGCTGACCTTTTAGTTTCTGCGTCCTCATGGACATATCATTCTTTCGTAGCGGAAGGTGGTCTACTTCGAATGGATTTTTTTCTTCATCAGACAATGATTTGCTATCAGCCTGACCATTTATTGAATTTATGGTATCTGATGTAGCTAAGTTATTGTTTAATGTATCTACTATTTGGATTGGAGATTCTTCTATTTCAGTCTCAGGAATAGAACTCAGACGTTGTTTAATTTCGAATGGATTTGATTTGCTTTGCGCTATAGTTATGCCTAATGACAGAAAAAGCCACATACTAGCACTGAGAAAAATTCGTTTATATTTTATTCTTTTATCCATTAACGGGTCAAAAGTAGGAATTATCTATCGAATAGACAATTTTGGATTTAACTTCTTATCTTTGTTCTGTATAAAAAAATGTGATGCCAAACAATTTAATACGTAGGTTAATAATTCTAGGTGGACTTTCTATCATAGGCATCTTGTTTATTCAGTCGTATTGGCTGATCAAAACATGGGATATAAAAGATAAAGAATTTGACCAATCGGTCAATATTGTTTTGCGAAGTGTAGCTCAGAGAATGGCTACCTATAATAAAATAGTGCTACCAAAAACAGGACTAGTACAAAGACGATCGTCCAATTATTATGCGGTAAATATCAACAGCCAAATCGATGCTGGTGTATTGGAAGGATATTTGCGACATGAGATGATCAAACAATCACTTGATATTGCATTTGAGTATGCAGTTTATGATTGCTCTACAGATGAATTGGTGTACGGAAATTATTGTAGTCCCGAATTTGTGGACGAAAAGACATTAAAAAAAACACCCAAATTACCAAAATTCGAAAATCTTATTTATTATTTTGTTGTAAGATTTCCAGCTCGAGAAAGTTTTCTATTGGCCAATAAAAATATGGCACTTATTCTTACGAGTTTATCAGTACTCGCCATTGCTTTCTTCTTGTACAGTATGTGGGTCATCCTAGAACAAAAGAGATTATCTGAGCTACAAAAAGATTTTATCAATAACATGACCCATGAATTTAAAACACCTATATCATCTATAAAAATTGCTTCGGATTTTCTAGCCAATGATGAGTACCTCAAAAATGACAATCGCCTGAGTAGATATACACAAATCATCCGTGAACAAAATCAACGCCTGAATGACCAAGTAGAAAAAGTACTCAATATCGCAAGATTAGAAAAAGATAGTATTGAGCTAAAAAAAGAAATATTTGACGTCAACATTACGTTAAGTGAAATTATAAATAATGAATCCTTAAAATTGAAGTCAGGAAATATTACATTTACACCATGTAGCGATGATGTCAGTATCAAAGCTGACAAGCTACATTTCGTAAACGTGATCGCAAATATGATAGATAATGCCATAAAATATAGTCAAGATGAACCTATAGTAGACATCACTGTCGTTAATCTTGATGATCGTATTGAACTTAGGATTAGCGATAAGGGCATAGGTATAGACAAAGAAAACCAGAAAAAATTATTCGACAAATTCTATCGAGTGTCTACTGGCAATGTACATAATGTCAAAGGTTTCGGTCTAGGATTATATTATGTCAAAAATATTTGTGCTGCACATGGGTGGAATATTCAAGTGCAGTCAGCAAGTGGCGAAGGATCAACATTTAGTATCAACATACCAAAACAAATAAATCATGAGTGAAAAATCAAAATTATTGTATGTAGAAGATGACGAAACATTAAGTTTTGTGACCAAAGACAACTTGGAACTACATGGATATGAAGTCAATCATTTTTTGGATGGTGAAAGTGCTGTAGAAGCTTTCTTTAACGGTACGTATGATCTGTGTATTCTAGATGTGATGTTGCCCAAAATGGACGGTTTTGCAGTAGCTGAAAAAATAAGATCAACTGACCCCAATGTTCCCATTTTATTTTTGACTGCTAAGTCCATGAAAGAAGATCGTATACATGGCCTTCGGCTTGGCGCTGATGACTACATCACCAAGCCTTTCAGCATAGAAGAGTTGATATTAAAAATAGAAGTTTTTCTGAGAAGAAAATTTGTGTCCGTCTCTACGAACGATCAATACAAAGTGGGTAATTACAATTTTGATTATAGAAACCTAATCCTGAGTCTAAATGAAGTGGATCGCAGCTTAACCCAAAAAGAAGCTGATCTTCTCAAGATGTTGCTCGATCATAAAAACAATGTGGTCAAAAGAAGCCTTATCTTAGAGAAGCTTTGGGGAGAGGATGACTATTTCCTAGGCAGGAGTATGGATGTATTTATCAGTCGTCTAAGAAAGTACTTGGCAGAAGACTCGAAGATAAAACTAGACAATATACACGGCGTTGGTTTTAAACTGATGATAGAGGGATAGACATACATTACGAATTTGGCAATTAATAATTAGTAATTACCAAATTCGTAATTAATCAATTATCCTCTACTTCTTTCCAAAAATACCATCATTATTAAGCTCAAAATAATACGCTCTTCTTCTTGTATGTCAAAATTACCGTGTTGGTGTAACTTAAATTTTTTACCTAGAAAAGAAGCTTCCTTGGTAAACTCAGCTATTTTGGTACCATCTTTACGGTAGATATTATATTTTGGGTTAAATACATATCCTGTAAAAATTCCCAAAATAGGAACTTCAGAAAACAACCCGTCCATGATCTTGACGAAAGCATTATCTTCTTCTATTTTAAATTCAAAAGCATCGTGTTCGTCAAATATTTCATAGGTTGCTTTCCACAATGACCTAGCACCTTTCCTACCCATTTTACCTAGATTCTTACCTGATGCATCCGTAAACATATACGAAGCCGACCAATCGATCCATTGACTTGCTTTTATTTTGTACAAGATGGAACTTTGAGACTCATCTGCAAAAACAGATATGTCTTCTTTAAGCTTAAATAGTTTTTGCTTCACATAAGCAATTTCTTGGCCGGTTGCATCTCTGACATAAAACTGTGGAGACAATGCCATAATCTTAAATTCAAATTCTAATGGGTAAGTAATCTGTCTGTTCATTTGCTGATGTTTAATTTTATATTGCCCAAAAGTACTGCTTTCACTTTGCAATTTTATATTTTAGAATCCAATTTATTTTACAAATGCCAGATTGTACAACAGTTTTTTGTTTCTAATGATATTCTTTGATTTATACTATAAGATTTCAGCATCCTTTCAAAACTACTAAACGTATGATAATCAAGCATCTCCATTTGCAACGCAATTATATACAATTGATTATCAGTTCATTACAATATGGGTAC